TTGGTGACTCTACGTGAGGGCATTTTGTGACTTACAACAGAGAAAGCAAGGTACTGCAAGTAACTTTTTAAAGATTACCACCAATGTCAGTTTGTTTATTAGGTGTAGTTTGCTTGTTTCTTGCATTGTTAGAGTAGCGTGAAACTTCTCGCATTTTCGCTGAAACAGCGAATCACGACTGAAAGACCATTAATGTGAGCTTGACGTTCAAAGACTTTAAATGTGATACACTGCCCAGAGTTCAAAGTTCGAAAAAAGAGACAACGATTCCACCGATTACTATTAACGCCTCTTTCTTAAGCAAAATACAGGACGACCATTACATCCAAAATATCAAATTTGATGTCACTTTATGTAACCAAAGGTTCTTAATTTTCGTTTTCAATGATTTCTCATAACTGATGCTCTTCACTTTATGGTGGGGTAGGGAGGCTTGGCGAAAAAGACACTCTTAATTCTATCTTGATTGTGTCGTTGTTGCCGTGTTAGACATATGCAGTTGTCACAAGTTTGTCAGAACAAACTAAGAGAGTGGTCAAGTTGAACACCGAGGATCATGAGGCTGAAGATATCGATAGAGGTAATTAGCAAGAACTATAGTTACGTTGGCAGGCCTTAAGATTTTATTTTGTCATTTGAGGTCCCCTTACAGTAATCGTACTTTAGCATATTACACCATGATACTGTTATTATACTTCTCAAGAAAAAACTTCAGTAATAGGACCCCTCTAATTACAAATCTAATATTTCCCATTTCATTGTAGATTCGAGATATGTATATCCAATTATTGACCGATTCAGCTTGCAGCTTATCTCACCAGTTAGTTGGGAGATCATACCAAGCACACGGTTAGTGTGAAATGAAGATCTGTTTCCATTGTCGGTCTTTTCGTTCGTTTGTTAGTTTGTTTTTTGCATAAATTATTGGATAAGTTGAATATCTTATTTCATCTAATGMTAATTAACAGGCCTTAAACCTACTGTCTTGATTTACTTCAGTGCAAAAAAAATTTTCTCATCAAAGTTCGAGTTCTGGTCATATGTTGGATGGTTGACACTATGGCCCGGCCAATTTGCCAAAAAAAAAAAAGGTGGGATTCAACCATGTTAAAAAATTCATGTTGATTGTACGCAAAAACAGTCGGCAACCAATGAATATGATAATATCTTGACACAGAGGATAAAATCATTTCTCTTTTGTATAGTCATCCTCTTTCATATTCAGTTCGATTGTCCTTGTTTCAGAATTGAAATGGAGGACTGGGAACATGTTACCACCTGCAAGAATCTTATGCTTTCGAGTCAGGAGACTCATACTGGTCACAAGGGTTTTATTTGTGTCGGCACAACTCATGTGTACGGTGAAGATATCACCTGCAGGGGACGGGTAGGTGAACATGATAGATATCACCTGCAGGGGACGGGTAAGGTGAACATGATAGATATCACCTGCAGGGGACGGGTA